CAAATGCGGTCAAGGTTGTTGAGTATGCGCAGACGAGGTTGGCAGAAATCGATGAGACTACCACAGAAGAAGATATTGTGAATTGTGTCGGTTATAGGGCAGACGTTAACGACATTAGTTTCGTCGTCTGCACGTGGAATGGATGCAACAAGTATTTCACTAAAATGGAAAAATTCACACAACATCGTAGACGTGATCACGACACAGAGGAAGTTACAAAGGATATCTGGATATTCGGTAATGTAAATAAAGGAGGAGAAACATCAACTAATACGATATCTTCCAAAGCAACAGAATCCGAAAGTTCAACGTCCATACAAAAGACGACGACATCGCCAGTCAAGGTCTCAGCACCATTACCTATTAATCCTTCTTCGCCTTTAATGAGAGTAGATGGAACATCGACTCTAACGCCGACAACCACCACCATAGGATTATCTAATAAACCACGGAGACCAATAAAAGATCAACTTGATTTGCCAAATCCGATGGACAATTCATTACCAGCAAAGCGAAGTCGTGATTCGAGCGCCTTAGAAAAAGAGATTATCAGTAAGAGAAGGGAAACACAGGCTTCACCGCAATTTCCTGGTGGACACAGTAACAATGGAAACGGAAATAATGATATTCGCCAAGTGCAACGACCGCCAAGAAGATTTACGATGGAAGAAGAACAAATAGTTGGACCTGATGCACGAATAAGATATCCAAGAGGAAATCGTGGACCGAATGCAAATCCAATGTATGGGTTGCCTTATGACACTGGCGATCCTCGATACTACAACGCCATGCAAATGCACCCTATGAACTTCGTTTATAGTGAAATGCCACCACCACCGCCTCCACGTTATGACGGAAGTTATGGCGATATGCCCTATGGACAGTTTTATGGTAATGGAAATCGTAGGTTTTTGAACAGTCCACCACCACCGCCACCTCCAACGCGACGTTCGAGATAAAGAATGCGAGAATGTCTATTCAATTAAATATTAGTAGTTTATTGGTTGGCATGATAAAGATGCACATCGGGATAAAACTGTTTTTTTCTTTTTGGTATTTCTTGAAGCAATACCACCAAATGTTCATGCTAGCAAGATATGGCATATATGTACGGTAGACATATCGAAACCACTGGGATATTCTCCGTTTTCTTTTTCGCCATCATGTAGAATTTTATCACATATTTTACTACATTAGCGACCGGCGTTCTACGTATTTCGTGATATTTTTTGTGAGAACGGGATATTCCATAAAATCATCGATACCTTGTATAAAATTACGTATAACTATTTGGAACCATAATTTTAAGGCACCAAAAAAAAAATCTTTGTACATGAAATTGGGTGGATGAAAAGGGAGAGCGCAAGGCAATTTAATTTTCTTTTTAAAACCACTTTTCCCAAGAACAATAACAAAATATTAATCACCCCGTCTAACGTCCGTAGTCTATGTCTTTGACAAATTACTTCAGTTTTATTTATTAACACCTGAATCTGAAACAATTACAAAATACATTTTTATTTATTAATCTTCTTTAAATCAAATAATGATAATAATTTTTTTTTCTTGGATTTTATTTTGCACAATTGCCGGGCTTTCCAGTAACACACTCCTCACTATCAATCGCAACGAGACTAATATTAGGAGGAAAAATTCCATCTCGAAGATTATAATAAACCACCGTCGAATCGGGGAACGTAATAGCAAGAGTAATACTGTATATATATAGAATCATAATAAAATATATCACAATGATGGTTTTCATAAAAACCAGAGCTCCCTCAAAAAAACATTGGCCGAAAATATTGCTAGCATAGATCAAACCTTTTAATATTCCTCAACAAGATACTATCATTATCTTCGGAAGAAGAAGAATTGGACGTGGAATATTTTAGTGAAGAAAATGTTTGGGATATCCTGTTCATTAAAACATAGCATTAGATAAACGTCAAGAAAGACAGATCCTTGCTTATTATCATAAGCCAAATCGATTCGTGTTACCTTTCAATGGACCAATTTTCAGAAGAGGCACAAGGGATCACAACCATTGGAGGAGCTGACTTTAATGTAAAGAAAAGACGTTAAATGAGAAGAACGTCAAGATGTTAAACCGCCAAGCGGATTTCCTCAATGATTGGAATCATCCTTACTTGGGTAGGTTTCCCCAGCAATACGCACCTTTTCAAAGGTTCAACATCCTTAACTTTTACTTCAGACCATGATTTCACTGAAACGAAAATTATAATATCATCAGAATTCTAGTAGTTCTCCACTATGACTTTCCCAATTCACCGAAAAATTCTCCCGTAGTGTCATTCACCATACCTAATGTGAGATCGAGATATGTTTGCAAAAGGCAAAATGCTGTTTGAGGGTATTTATCTCGATACAAAGAAATTTTGTCTGACTTTAATGTTGGTGCAAAAAAAATGGGATGTTTAAATTAAAATAGTCCTTATAGATCTTTTGATCCAACAGCCTTCTTTGGGTCTACATGTAAATTGATAATTACATAAGCTTACAAGTACAGAATTCATTTTCTCGGAAGAATAAATTCGATTAGAATTCTTAATTTAATAAACAATGTAGTATTGTTTTTCGAACATTAGTCCTGACTAGGCAATAAAGTTATTGCTTCGTCTTCGGGAAGTGAGTGTCGTAGATGCGTCAGTCCAAGTAGCTTGATTGGTTAAAATAATTAATCACACGTGACTTAAAATTTGATAAATTTGAAACGTTGAAAAATTTTTGATTCTTCCTCTTTATATCCACCAAAATTTCCTTGGAAACGATGAAATTCTCTAAAGGTATATGATATTAATTTTACCCAGGCAAATCTTATTTACTTCAGGCGAAATAAAACTAGATTTGCCAATATATTACAAAGAAATTCGACATTTCGATAATGTAATACTCCAACAAACAAATGTGTAGATGTAAGCTCTTCTCGGCGCAAAAGTCGAAAGGCACATTTTTCCGCACCATCGTCGGTTCGAAGAAAAATAATGAGCGCTTCATTGTCCAAGGAATGGAGGGATAAGTACAGCGTAAGATTTACCTTTCGTCTTTTTCCCTTCTCAAAAAAATGTTATGGCGACAGAAGCTCATATCACACGTGTTTTAACGTACGGATTAGGTCCGATCCATTCCTATTAGAAAGGATGACGAAGTTCGCATTGTACGTGGTACTTATAAAGGTCGTGATGGAAAAGTGACGCAAGTTTATCGTAAAAGATGGGTCATTTATATCGAGCGTGTTAGTAGGGAAAAAGTAAATGGTTCCACTGTACCAATTGGTATTCACCCCTCGAATGTTGTTATCACAAAACCAAAGTTAAATAAGGATCGAAAGATTTTGTTGGAGCGAAAGAGCAAAGCTAAGTCGAAGAATAAGGGTAAAGCGGCTGAAGTTGATACCGAAATTGATGGATAGAGTTCCTTGATATTTATATAAGGAGGAATGGAAATTTTAATAAAATTTGCGATGATGATATAAATCCAGATATCACAATTCATTATGTGCATTGCGTAAATATAGCCTATAATTTTTTTTTTTTTTGTCGATCTTTTGCATCTGAATCCTTTGTGACACGAATGCACTCTAATCTGCGGAAGAAACGCGGGGTGAATTGATTTTTATACATATATGATTCACTTCAATCTGTACTGTTCATGATGACTGTGGGAAAGATTTCCTTTTTATTACCACAGAATAGAGAGGTCGCGGAATTAGGCTTGCGTTTGAAGGAAGCCAGTGACAATGTTAGCACAAATCACATAGGTTTGCAGGTTTCGGCAAAACGGCCAATCATAAAAAAAGTGCTGGAAGCCATGGCTTCTGGAATTGATGTGTCACCATTATTTGGCGATGTTGTCAAGGTTAGAATAGCATAATGAATTCTTGTATTTGATAAGTACTTATATGCTGACTTTTTTCGGAAAAAGGCAGCTTCAACAAAAGACTTGGTGCAAAAAAAGTTGGCATACATGTATATAGCAACGCAAGCAGAGCGTAATGCTGATTTGGTAATCCTGGCTATCAATACTTTTCAAAAAGATCTTCAGGACGAAAATCCGTTTGTTAGAGGCCTGGCGTTACGCACTCTATGTTCAATGAGGTTAATACATTTAGTCGCTCTTTGCTTTCGTATAAATTGTGGATTCAATGTTTAAAACGCGGTGCTCGTTTATTAAGGCTTTCCGATTATGTTAATTACATGCTGGAGTCGTTGAGTCACGCCTTAGGAGACTCTAGTCCTTACGTACGTAAGACTGCACTTATCTCGGTCATCAGAGTGTTTCACCTTTCTCCTAAGCATGTGATGGGTAGGTGACCCTCAAAGAGAAATCGACAAAAAATGATGAATCTTCAAAATAATAATTTTCACTTAAATACAGATGCCTCTTTGATCGATCAAATATATAATACCCTTCGTGATCGGGATTCAGAAGTTGTGGCTAATGGAATTGCTGCTTTGAACGAAATGTTACATTTCCAGGGTGGAATGACCATGAATAAGAAAGTGGCGCACTATTTGCTGCAAAGATTTCGGGAATTCAATGAATGGCATCGGTGCTTAGTCTTAAATATACTTTGCGTGTATAAACCAGAATCAGAGGAAGAAATCTTCGATATAATGGTATATGTTGAAGAGAATTTTAGGTCGCTAGGAATCTTTTAGCGCGCATCAGATTAACACGCATTTAGAATCTTTTGGATGATAACCTTAGACATCATAATAGCGGGGTACAGCTAGCAACCGTGAAGTTGTTCATACAGTTGACCCTTGACGTACCGGAAGTTCACGAAGCTTTGTATGAAAGAATAAAAGGTTAGTTTTACTGGAACGTAATTGATGCAGATTTTTCTCGAGGATAATGCCAACGTTTTTCTTATAGAACCTCTGCTGACGTTACTTTCATCAAGTATTCCGGAAATTACATATTCATGTCTGGAACATCTATATCTTTTGATACACTCTCACAAATTGCTGCAGGATGACTACAGGAAATTTTATCGAAGGTAGATGTGAGTTTCGATGCAGGAAAATTCATGAGGGATGTTACATAAAAACTGATATCTGAAAGGTTGTAGAACTAAGGAACCATCGTATGTGACGATGAAAAAATTGGATTTACTTCAAAAGACAGTCATGGAGACCAGTGCTAAAGAGATAGTGGACGAAATAAGGTAAGACTTAAAAGAAATAAAACCACCATTTATTGATGTTTCATTATTGACTACGTGTACGCTATTTGTAGCGGATATATCTTGGGAGATGATGCAGGTGTCACAAAAAAATCAATACAAACTATAGCCAAGATTTCCCTGCAAATCAAAAGTGTATTGAATTACTCGCTCGACATTTTCATAAAATTATTGGAGACAGGAATTGATATCGTGGTGTCTGTTATTATAACCGTCATTGAAGGTACTAATATAATCTAATGCGAAGCTGTCGTAAGATCGTTCATTAACAATTATTCTTGTTCTTTTACAATAATGAAGACTTATTGACCGAAAGTCCTGGCAAGTTTGATGAATTTTTTTCGGTGCTACCATCAGTATGGTCATCGATAGATTTGAAATCACCCGCGGGACCCGCGTTCTTAAATTTATTGACAACCATTGGGAGTTCATTACCGGAATCCCCATATATTTTGGAATCATTGATCGATAATATCAATAATTATCCAAGTACATTGTTCCGTGTGCAACTACTTAACTCGACAGTGGCATTGTTTCTGAAAAGGCCAGCGGAATGTCAGGGAATGCTGACCAGGTTGTTCAAGAACACTATGGGATCGACGGAACGCTTTGAAGTTCGCGAAAGAGCAAAGTTTCTGTTCCGGCTTTTAAAACACGATATTGATACTGTGAGTGTTTAAACTTTTTTTTTTTTTTTAGAAATTGACAAAATAATCATGTCCGACGTGTTTGATTGATTATTCGAATTGAAGGTCAAGAAAATCTGTGCATATGAACCTCGCGAAACCTTGAAGACTCAAGACGAAGATGGCTCAAGTTATCAGGTATAAAAAAAATCCTTTCTATTCGAGTTCACCTTTACTTCTTGTTTTTACACTTTTACTTATTTCAAAAAATATACAGGTTCTGCCTTTGCATGAATTTAATACACTTTCAATCATACATGGAAAACCACAAGGACGTTTCATTGTTGAAAATGTTGAATTGGACATCCAGGTGAAAGAAGGGGCAACATTAAGTAATGACTCCCCGGATTTTGATAAGGTAACGTGTTTTCGTACGTGTTGATTTACTCGATTCTTAGTTTTAGACAAACCCTTTCGTGATTTTATAGATCCTGACAGATTTATCTAGTGAAAGTCTTATCAATGTTTCTGAAGTTAACAATCACACACTATCTAGTACAATTTCAATGGAGGCAAAAACTTTCAAATCGTGTTGGGATAAATTTACAATTAGGTATTTACATATGACTTTACATCAATTCAAAGACATCTAATAACAAAATACTCTTAAATAGGGTTCAGAAAGAGGTATCAATCATAGAATTATCAACTTTGCTCACGACATCAACAATAACGTTGGATAGTATTGAGTGCATCCTTGAAGAGAATAACATAATGACCATGGCATCGGGTGATGCAAATGGTGTGATGAAATTTTTTCTGTATGCACAAGATGTGAGTATTTGAATCTTTAAGCAATAGAAATATCTCGCAATATTAATCAATTATTCATTTTAACATTCAGTCAAATTCCCAAGAACTATCATTATGCGAATTAAAGATTAATCGATCAGCGCAAGCAAGTATTTGCATCAAATCAGGACATTTGACACAAAACGTGTCACCAGTTAGTATTGAGGGTGGTAACGAAAGCGTCAAAAAGAATACAACATCGCAGTTTTCAAATTTCTTATCGGAGTATTTAATCAATTGTTTAAAGAACTTGTGAAATCTTTAAATATCTTGACCGTTCTAATTTTAACGATATTGAATACGGAATCCTGCTCTAGAGATTGAAATTTTATACTACACATTTTTTATGTTGTATATTTTCGTTTTGTTTTTTTATACTTTTACAACAAATTATTAAAATCAATTATAATATTTATAAAACAAAAAATCTTTTTTTTTTTTCTGAAAAAGTAATTTTTCATTATTATATGCAAATTTAAAGTTTTTTAAAATAATAAGTCAAAACTTTTTGGTTTTTAATTTATTATACAGGTAATTATTTTTGAAGGCAACAAAAATGCTAGATATAATTTTTTCAGATTCAACTTTTAAACAATATATATATAATATAAATTTTAGGATCATAGCAAAAAATTTTCAGTTCACCTTTGAAAATAATTACCCATATTTATAATGTAATATTAAAATTAATATTATTAATGAATAAAATTATTTTTTATAAAAATAATAATAACATTTTTTTTTTAACTCAACTAGTTAGGCCATGTCTTGTTAATTCATGTATGTTTATATCATGTATTACAGGAAGTTACTACCTATAAATTATTTTAAATAATTATTAGACTATATTAGATTTTATTCTCATATCAGCTTGTTGCTATTGGTTATAAACCCGGAGATCTATTTATATTAAAACTAACATGCTAAAGCTTCATTAGTGTCATTATTATATGTTAAGTTCTATTTTTGACCAGAAATGTATTAAGGGAAGTTTGAAAGAGAAGAAACTAGAAATAATACCTATTAGATAAATAGAACCTTGCAAAAAAATCCTTCTAACCATCTGCAAATATATATACTATTTAATTTTTTTCTTTCTAAAACTATTCAAAAATATTAAAAAAACTTATTTTATAAACTTATTGCTTATAGATTGTTTTAGCTATTGGTACTTACTGCTATTTTGACTATCTTCTTGAAATAAGTAAATATCAGAACAATTTATTATTAAATTGAAATAAGAAACTTATAAGAGAAGACACTAAATATCACAAGAAAATGATTATTAAACTATCTTATTGAAAGTAGATATTCACTAGTCCAAATTAAATTATTTAGCTACCAAATTACAGCTGATTAAATTCAAATTTATTAATAAAAGTTTATATTGAAGTTTTGTTATTTGATTCAATTTATACTATTTAGCACTTATAACATTTGATAAAAAATAATTATTTAACAATTAAAATATTTGGCAATAAAATCATTTGACAATAAAATTATTTAGCAAAAAAAAATTAACAAAAAAATTTTTTTAATTAAAAAATTTTTGACAATAAAGTTATAATATTTTGTAATAAAAATTATAGTATTCAGAATAAATTTTTTTTATTTAACTATAAAGTTAACAAAATCATTTAGCATTATATATTTTGGGTAAAATCAAATTATATATTTTTAATACATTTATAATAATATTTAGCAAAATTTAATTAATATTTGATAAATTTATTAAAAATATAAAAAATATAAAATTTGAAATAATTATT